CAATACTGTATGTTTAAAAATATTCTTCATTTACTTTGCTTAATGGATAACCTATTATTTCATTAAGTAATTAGTATTTTATGAAAAAAAAAACAAATGACTTCTCAAAATTTCTTACACAATCATGTTCTAAATTTGTAAAATCTGTGATATCAATATACTGTATATTACTGGTAGAACATAATTAGTGGTAGAATGTATTCTTGGAAGTAATCTTCATTATCCAAGACACTAACTGAATATATTTATTTTAATCTTTATTCAGAAACTACAAATATTTGTCATAATTTACGAAACAAAACCCATACAAACTGGTAGTATAAATACAATATACCAAAATACCTTAAAACTACCAATTGTTTAAATATCAAACATTTTTTGACCTTTTCAAAAGCTTTCATCAGGCAAACCTCCCTCTGATCTTCCAGACAAATTAAACTAGAAAACATAACCATATAAATAATTTAAGATAACCGTCCATCCAAAAGACATATCCAAATATCAAAGGTCTGAATAATGTAATTGGTAAAGCATCTATACGATAAGCAGAAGTTGCGAATTGAGTCGTGCTTTAGATCGATCTTTTCTTTCAGAATATTCTAAATCGATTAATTCTAATTATTAAATTTAATACAGACCGACAACTTAATCGCCACTTTTTAATCTAAATTACTCAATGTTTATTTATTTAAATAGCCAAGTTACGGCCCAACGAATCCAGCAATGTCGCGCAATTAATTTATAATTTCAAGCTTAGTTTACTGTATAATTAAACATGACTAATAAAAATCGAAATTTTATCAGTATTTTATAAATATAATTATTTACTTTATTATAATTTTCACAATTTTTTGATATTTTTAATTTAAAATGTAAATATAGATCAAAAATCAAGATTGTGATACAAATGTTTACTCTAAATGTATGCAATTTGATAACGATTTTATGAATCATTATATCTTACTAGAAATAAATGATTAATTTAGTATTAAATTTTTTGATTTTCAATTAAAATAATCGAGTTACATAAAGAAACTTACAATAAAAATTAAGATACTTTAAAATTTCAAATAAAAGAAAAAATTACAAGTTTATTAAAAAAGTTTTGTTGAGCAATCAACGTCTGCCATAGATTTTTCATTGTAGAATATGGTAAATGCCGCTGATTGCAAGGACGTTTTCTTACAATACTGCCCATTTGTTTAAAATATTAAAACTATGAAAAATGCAGTCAATATACAATTTATGTATTATGTAACCATACAACTTGTTTTATTTGTGTAGAATAGTTGTCAACCCTTTGTCTTTAGATAAAGAATCTGTCTTAGGAAGCAGACATCAGCCAAAGCAGAAATTCTTTGCCATTTTCTTCACAAACATGGATTTATGACTAATATTAAAAATTCTCAAGTTTGCTTGTATGGTGGTTTTTCCCCTTTAGAAATTGTCCAACATTAACATTTTATCTGAGTCCAACACTGTAGACATATGCAAATTCTTGTATGCATTTAAGAACAATGGAAGTTTTACATTTCTAGTTAAATTATGAAACAAAGTTAAATCTTCTATACAAGTGGACGAAAATTAAACATAAAACACATTCAAACCTTGAATCAGTCTAGCACAAAGGTATAATTCATGTAATGAACATTTTCAATCTTCTAAGAACTGCGTCAGGTTTAAACTTCTGGAATGGAATACTTCACGTGATGTAAAGAATGGCAGAACTTCCAATTCCTTTATTTGATTGGTGTGTATAGCATGTCTTACAATAGTCACCTGATGTAACTTTGCATGAATATTACATCATAAATATATATGAATAAGGCGGTGGATCGTTTCTTGTATCTATATCGTATTTGTGCTCTGTTAGCTGTTGTTTCAGGGATCTTTTAGTAAAACCAATATAGATCAAATTCATCTGGAATCTGTCATCCTGCAGTGGGATCATGTAAACCTCAGATGCCCTGTCTGTTGATAGGTCTTGCTTCATTATGTAAAAGCTTACGTGTGGTTGGAGTGTGTCTGTAAGCAATTTGGGTGTCCCTGATTCTAGTGCAATGTACAACATTTTGTCTCAAAATGTGATAGATACATCCTTTGGTATCAGAAAGCCAATCTGAAAGTCTTGCAAAATTGAGTTCTTTCTCAACAACATTGTTGTGTTTACAATAGTATACCAAGTGTTTATGACAACTGGATGGCAAAATGGTCAACCTATTGCTCTGGGAAATCTCTGGGAAATCGAGACATGTCCAAAATCCTTTAATATTTTTCAGGATTGATCTATCCTGGATGTGTTAGGTCTTCTTCCTCACAACGCGACTGCCTGATTGTGAGCTTGGACGAACCACAATGGGCCTGAAAAAATATCCTCTTAGTGACCACAGGGCAGAAAATAAAAAAAATAAAACAATCCCAAAAAAGTATAGTATTTTTGGGGATTTTTTGTTTGAGTACTCTACTAGAAAAAGCCAATATTATAAACCTATTATTGTGATAAAGATAACAAATATTGAATAAATGCTCAAAAGTGCCAAGTTTTGTTGACACTTTTAAGCATTTTTCTACAAATTTTTTTTATTATTTCTCTGACTTTGCATTCCAAAAATCAGTTTCTAGCTATCAAGTCAGCTACATCTATAATCTAAGATTGACAGGTACAATATAGTGAAACATCGAGTGTAATACACATTTTCATTCATATTTCAAATTTTCAGATTCACATACTTTTTTCATTTTTACAAGTAAAATTTGACTAAAATTTAATTAAAATCTATAGTGATATAGTAATATGGTGTTAGACTACTGAGTGGATAAAGTTATAAATATACATGGGAGATTCCAAAAATAATGGGAATAATTTTGTGGAGGGTGGGAGATTTGTGATACATGTATCCACACTAGATGTCAGTAGACGGAACCCTCTGGAATCAGTATGCGAAGCGGCGTCAGCATGCCAAGACTTGTTGGCCCATAGCGATATTTGTTTGAGAGAGCTGTTTTTCGTTTTTGTCAAAAACATGATGTCAGATTTTAAGGAGCAACACACTGCTGTGAAATTTTGTTTCCTGTTAGGAAAAAGTAGAACGGAAATGGTTGAAATGATTCAACGTGGTTACGAACAAGATGCCACGAGTAAGACAAAGGTTTACGAGTGGTTTTCCCGCTTTCAAAAAGGAAAAATGTCTCTTGAAGATCAACCTAGATCTGGGCACTCATCCAACGCTCAAGCTGACAAAAATGTTGAGAAAATTTGTGATCTCATCAACAAAGATCACCATCGAACCATTGAATTTTGTCACAATAACTCAGCATGAGAAGAGTTTCCGCAAAGTTTGTTCTGTGCTTGTTGATCGCCAATCAGAAAGGCAGTCTCTCGGCAGCTTGTCAGGATTTGAAAGAACATTTGGAAAACAATCCAGACTTGTTTTCAGCCGGAACCTATTAAATACGGTATTTGGTTTGATCAATCGATACGACTTACCAATTAGTTCGACATCAGTCATTAAAATTTTTGAATGCATTCGTACCGAATTAAATCTCTAAATATTTTCTTAAATGCTATTCATCTCTTCTTCCTCAATTTTTACAAAATTCAGTTGTGAAAGGTATAAATATTTCTGACTTATTTTCAAAATTTCAGAAATAAATTTATTTATAATTCAGGTTTGTTTTTAAAACAGTTTATAAAACTTTCACATTACTTTTTCAATATTTCAGTGAATACAATACTTTTAATATAAAACTTATTTCCATCCATTTTTGCGAATATCCAAAAAGTACTTTATGAATGCGACTACATACACCGTACTTTGAACGTCGGTTGAACAAAGGCCCACGATGCCATCCATTACAATCGAGGATAACCACAGGGCCCGTTTGATTAATTCCTTTCTATTATATAAGAGTGATTTTGTAGAGTAACATAAAAAAATGGAGTATATAAATTATAGAAAAAATGTCCAAAGTATGAAAATGAAGAGTAATAATTATTTCACAATGTAAAGGAAGTAGACATCAAGAGGTTGCGGTCGACGTTTTCAATGCAAAAAATGTGTACGTCGAACGTTCCGCGCCGTCTTCCTGTGAGCCTAGAAGTTTGACAATGGTGTTTGGAACATCGAGCATGATTCCACTGACGTTCCAAACGCCATTGTCTAACTTCTAGGCTCACAGGAAGGCGGCACCGAACATCCGCCGTACACGTTTTTGTGTTGAAAACATCAGCCGCAACTTCTCTATCATATTAAAAAAAAAACCATTGTCAGATTTGTAAACAATTTCAAAAATTTTTTTTTTTAACTAATAATAGCATGTTATTTTATAATTTAAATGTAACAATCACAACGGACTAGAACAAACAAATTTAAAAAACTATTTTGGAATCAATACCTTAACGAACTAAATATAAATTTGAATAGAATTGTTTTAAAAATATATGCACACGGTATGAATATTGGAAGTATTCTCGACATAATCCGACGGAACGGTACAAAATACAACCGTCTTTAATAAACGAATACCGTCGGCATAAAAGCATTTTTCGTTCGTTCTTAAATAAAACTTTAATAGAGAGAGAAAACGTATTGATAATTACCAATCGAGTCGACACCGGGACCACGACTAATACTGGAAATAATCATTTCAAACCAGAAATACAAAACAGTATATTAAGTAGTTAAGAGTAACACGACTAGTTTTAAAATTTTTCTTTTTTATTTATAATTTGTAATTTAAAGAATATAAATAGAAATAATTACAAGTCGACCCCCCTATAACACTGTTGATTTTTCCATTTTATATGAATTCCATGTTGTACGAGTCACTTAGATTTTACAAATACGTGTGCCGGGCTTTGAACGGCTCATGTATTTGTATAGTCTAAGTGACTCGTACAACATGGAATTCATACGAAACGGAAAAATCAACAGTGTTATAGGGGGAGTCGACTGTATTTCGGTAGTTTCCTATTAACAAAATAACAAAAATGTACTCACTTTAGGAGGAGAATAGAATTCGAGCATGTATCCGGCGACGGTTTTAACTAATGTTAGGCGGCATTTTTCCCATTTCTGTTTTCCGTCCAAATTATCACCAGTCAGGTAATTAACAACTCCTTCTTTAATACATTCTACAACAATTTTAGCTAATTTGGTCTTTTCACTTCTCGTCCTTCTCTCGGCATGATGATGATGATGATGAGAATGAGATAATTCCACTTCATCAGAATGTTGTTTATGAAATAAACCTTTTCCTCTCTTCAATCCTTTGAAAGAAAGACGCCTGAAGAAAGGGCGATGATGAGTTTTCGGCGAATCGTTTTCTAAATCTGAGAGATCGCTGTAATCTTCGTTATTTGTCAGTAAAGAACGTAAATTTTCTTGCGAAGTATCTTGATTTCTCGTTCTAATTTTGACTCCTTCTCCTCCTCCTCCTCCTGATCCTCCTCCTCCCGCTCCTCCTCCTCCTCCGATTTCTCCTCCGTTTGTTGATCCATGTTTCTTCTTTAATTCATTTTCGAAACATTCGAGGAAATGTTCGGTAAATTGTTTACATATTTCTTGATTGTTTTTATTACAATTCGGATGATCGTTTATAAATATACGATAATTTTGTGTAAATTCTACGGCAGCTGCTTTTGCTTGTTTCTCACAGAATTCTAACCACAAACCCTTCTCGTCATTATCTACGTTGTTGGTGCCGGCCATTACTCAAACGACGAAACGACGACATTTCACTCGCGACATGACCAGGGTAAAGTAACACCCAGCTAACGCCATCATGGAACCACAATGCGCAATACTCAATGCGCACAAGGTCAACAACTGGTAAATGAACGAAAGGGAAAGGATTTCTCGTGTGACGTAAGAAAATAATAATCAACCGGACGTCATTCGTTAATTTTATCAATGATGTTGGCCTTTCTCGGAATATGAAAATTATACCTTTTTATTATTATTATTATTATTATTTTCGTTATTTAATTGTAATTTTTATTATATATGTATCTATACCGAACGCTACTATTATAAAACAATACGTAGTGTTTTGTAACGGTCACGTGACTTTGCTAAACAAACCGGTCATCATCCTTTTAATTTATTTCCAGTCGCGATGATTTGTTTACGTCTCGTAAAGTGTAATATACACACTAGAAATTAATTATGTAAATTTTTATGTTAATCTTTTTTTTTCACAATTACAAAATGTAATAGAATATTTTATATTACAATACTACACTAAACTATACACCCGTTCGAGTCTTCTATTAACTGAAAATCACTTATTAATGCATTGTTATTAAATAAAAGCTTCATACATTCATGCTTTATTAAGTACTATTTATTCATTCGTGCTTTGTTATCGACAAAATGGCGTGTGATTTATATGTATTAACCTCTTATAAATTGTAAATGTTCATATTTGTTTGTTGATTGTCAAGTCTTATTGTCAAGTGGTGTTTAATTGTGTAAAGTATTTCCTTTTACTTGTAAGAGATTAAATAGATGAAATTCCAATAATTAATACAGATGTATTTTTATTTTACACAATACTACAAAATTTAGGACATTTATATCTTGTTTTCTTTACCCAAAATGTTTCCATTGAATTAAATGGGATGTATTTTATGCCCACCTCCAAAATGTCATTACAGTCGACCCCCCTATAACACTGTTGATAATTCCGTTTTATACGAATTCCGTGTTGTACGAGTCACTTAGATTTTACAAATACGTGAGCCGTTCACAGCCCGGCACACGTATTTGTAAAATCTAAGTGACTCGTACAACATGGAATTCGTATAAAACGGAATTAAGTGTTATAGGGGGGTCGACTGTATTTTGTTTTCTTTCGGTCCCTTCCATGCGAATCAACCTCTAACCTGTGATCTTCTGCAGAAGTCTTAGGCATGCAGTTATTTCAAATGCAATTTCTTTGCCATGTGGAGCTCCTTTCTTTGTTTTACTTTCAGGAGTGCTATTATTATTATTATCACTAACTAATGAAATGTAACTTTATAGTGTATTAAAATGATTAGAGTGGCTGACGAATTTTTGGCGATTTGTGTTTATTAATAGAACTATTCACAACCATAAATTGCACAAACCCTTCCTTTAATACGGCGTATCCATGGTCTTTGTAGGGTTCACAAAAACGCTTGACCATGCTTACTTCAGAATTGTAGCCTCTATCACTATCCTTGGCTCCTGTGTAAACTTCCGGATTCAGTAAATATCCATTTGCTTCCCTTTGATGTACAATCGGAAGTAAACTTTGCCACGAAACTGGCAGATAGCTTCGTCTACTGTCACTTCCTTTCCAGGAAAATAGAAAGTCTGAAACTTGGCCAGCATGTTCTCCACTGCTACACGATCCTTACACTCATACTCCAATAATCTTAAAGTTTTTGTTTAGGTGAGATTGTCGCATAAAGTACAATGCCAAAAAATGCTTTCGGGTCATCGGCGGTCACAAGTTTCCAAGTCGCATGATTGAAATGCCACCGCAGATTCCCTGCTCTGTCTATTGGTATCTGTTTGTTTCGTGAACAAGTGTTCAAAAGAGCATCATCAAGAAACATCCTGAATAATCTCCTGGAATGGCATTGTCAATAAATTAACGAAAACCAGGAAAAGACAGCAACTGTCCAGACCTCAGCCTTCATCTGCAGAAAGACATTGTCTTCGTGATTGTGGTTCGTCTTCATCTTTATCTTCTTTAGTGTAGGACTCTTCGACAATCGCTTCATCAAAATCTTCTGGAACAATTGGCGAAGGATCGTCTACCAGAGTTTCCAGATTAGTCGGATGGCCGAGCGGTCAAGGTGTCAGCCATTACATACAAAAATAAAATCGTTGCAAATCGTCATCTTTCTAGGTTTGAAGATAGAGAAAATAAAATTAAAAATTTAATCCGTTATATAAAATTCCACTAAAGTATCTCTGTTCAACACGTAAGAAAGATATTTCGCAATTCAAATGCAACTAAATCTAAGACTGTGTTCATAGATCCTGATCCATAATGGCGGCGTGTCTTTAGTTGTATTCGTTTGTCTCCAAAACGTTTACATTGTTCATTACAGTAGTTCCAGTGTTAGAGTAGGCCTATGCTCAATTTACATTAAGCTTACTTGTTAGTATTATTCCGTGGGTTTTTTGCGCTTTTAGAACGTATTTCGCTGTTTTAAAAATGGATAGACATAGTAAAATGTTAATTCTTCCGACTAGTGTGAACGTCATCGGCAGTGTGAACGTTACCTAAAATGGAGACATTTCAGGATATGCAAAAAGAATTAGGTAGACCGGGTTAATATGAGCATACGTTTGGAATTTCGTAACAACAGTGTGAATGAGAAGTGCCATGTATAAGACTCTTCCACTGTGTCGTTTTTAACAATGTAGTCGCATACATTTATCAGAAGAAAAAGTTTGCAGAGATAATCTGTAGAAATCTGTCGAGATAGGCTACGTAAAAATGTGGTTTGCTAATTATATTTGTAAACTTGAACTGTGCTTTAGATTAGCTGCAGTATGATATTTTTGGAAAAGAATGTTCTTTTAGATTAAAGATGATTGTCGACGTTCACAGCTAAAGTTTATCTACGCTAATTGACAGAAATATGCGTGGGCTAATATGAGCACGCTCATAATAGCCCACGTGTGCAGAAGAGTGACATGAACAGGGGTGATATGAGCACGCTCATATCACCCCTGTTCATGTCACTCTTCAGCATTTAAAATGAGTGTTTATAGACTACTGCAACAAATTATTTTCAAGCAGAAAAATGGATAAGATGTGAAAAATGAGCTAAATGAGAACACGAAGAGTGTACGGATGTTTCCCAACCCAAATACACACCTACCGTCCAAATTAAGCTTTTGCCATTTTATAGTAATTAAAAATATAAAAGTTTTTTACAGCTCAATTTCATTATAGACGTTACCTGCAGATAGTTAAACAAATTCCAGAAATGCATACTAAAATATCTGCTTCAGATAACTTATGCAAAATGTCTACAGATTGTCTGTAAAATTTGTATAGTCTGAAGTTTTTCTGCATATTATTTTCGGTGAGGTATGTTTAGGCTGATCTTATACACCTCATCTGATATGATGGCCTTTAGGCCAAATGTTTTTTTTTTTTAGTTTTTTTTATTCCTCTTCTCCTTCTTCGTCTGGCATTATAGGCCTTGGAGGCCTTTAGCCGCAGTCACGATCCTTCTCCATCGTTCGGTCTATAGCCTGCTTCTGCCAATCTTCAATCCGAGGTCTTGAAGATCTATCCAACTTTTTCTGGGACGGCTTCCTCATAGTGAAGCCCTCTTGAAACTGTTGCCATTATAGAAAGCCTTACGACATGGCCTAGCCACTGTAATCTTCCGGCCTTAATCACCTGTGTAATCATGGGCTTGTCATAGGTTGTCTTCAGTTTCTGGTTTGTTCTTCTCCTCCATATTGGTTCTCCATTGACCATGATACCATTATCATCATAATCTTCCACAGGTCCGAAGATTTTCCCTAGTATTTTGTTTTCAAATCTCTGTAGTTGTAGTTCCTCCTTTTTTATTCATCTAGTAAAATATAAACATATGCATATTCTTATTCAAGTTAAAAATTATTGCTTATTTTTATTCATTATGGCAACAATCTCGTAATGAAGACATATGATGAAAAACAAACGACCTCTTAAACTGCAGAAGTATATAAATTATTCGATAAATAGATCATATGAGAGCTAACCTGGTCTAACGGCCATTTTGGATTTTGATTTTAATGCAATTCTGAACGCGCCCATTTAAGACCAGTTCGACCCAGTCACTCGGGGCACGGATCACGAAGTTCAGTATGCCCGACAGCTTTCAGAATAAAGGACGATGACATTAATATATTCAGAGACGTAACTAACGGGAGCGAAAGTGGGCATGTGCCCAGTCGCCAAAATGAACCCGTAAAAACTTTTTTTTTTTTCTAATTCAGAGGCGCGAGGTATGAGGTTTTCCTCGGGTGCCAAAACTGTTCGGCGCGGCCCCGATGTAGTCAAGAATCGATCTAGTTCGTATCGTGACGAGGGATCGAGTGGCCACGTTTCAAGTGACCAAGATGGCGAATGTCTCAAAATGTCCTTCAATATGAAGAAATGCAGGTTCATATTCTGCGGATACACAAGGCAGATATTAATAATAATACAGTCGATCCCCCTATAACACTGTTGAATATTCCGTTTAATATGAATTCCATGTTGTACGATTCACTTAGATTTTACAAATACGTGAGCCGTTCACAGCCCGGCACACGTATTTGTAAAATCTAAGTGACTCGTACAACATGAAATTCATATTAAACGGAATATTCAACAGTGTTATAGGGGGATCGACTGTAATTAATAATCTCTGCTTTATATTATCAATAATAAAGGAGATAGAGCATGCAACTTTCAAGCGCTAATCTTGAACAAAAAATTTTGCACCAGAAGGTCCATTCAGGTCACAGATGTTAATTGGCAATGGGCGACACGCATTTTTATTTTTATTAAATTCGTTTTTATATGTTCTTCGCTACGAAGAACGTTTGTAGTATTTGTAGCCGTTTTCGATTATTTTCGTGAAAATGTTTATAATTCGACAATAGTTAAAGGATCGGAAAAAAGATGGCGCGACGTTAAAAATATATACTATAGTCTGTCTAACAGAAGATAAGTTACGTATAAACATGGATAAAGCCTTACGGCCTGTAATATTGAAGGAACGAAACAATTACTAAATAACTGGAGAGGAAGAAAGAGAAAATAGGAGAAGTCACGTAGATTTGGATCCTCAAATTTAAATTAAAGATACCGCCATATTGGAGAAGAAATAAAGTAGTAATAGGGATTATACTATACTGCAACATTATCATTTTTAAAATAAGATCTATGCATATTTATTTACTTTTTTTTTAAATGGTCATTAGTGTTTAGTCGCAAGTACTGTATATAAATTATGTTTCTCTTATCTTTCTCATATTGATGTATTTCGATGAAAAAAGTATATTTATGCTCATATTCGCAATGAAAAATTAATAATTACAATTGAATAAAACATAGCGCTACTTTACCATTGAAAAGTATTGTTAAATCAGCCCTTCAAACTTCCTTTTCCAATGTGGTGGATCGCCTCGAAACATGGCGTGCGTGCGTTCATAAAATCGAATGAGTTAAACGAGAATGACGTCATTTCGTTCGCTGGACATTGTAACCGATTTGTTTACACCAAAACTGGGTGATCTGCCAAGGGAGTGTGTCTCCCGGGAGGACTTACTATTGGAAACTGGCTGTGTTTAGTGAAGAAAACCCGGAAAACTCCTTGCTACCAGTCCGTTTGTAAAGTACGAACCTAAGATCAGTAATCAGTGGTTTATCCATTCGACCACTGGTGAACACAAAATTCTATTTGGAAGCCATAATGTGGGTCTACTGTAATTTGCTCTCTTTCCTCCCCGAGTGCTAAGAGGGGCTGTTTATCAAGCCCAGTGAGTTCGGCCAACTCCACAATGGGGTGGCCGAGTGATGAGGAATGGGATTCGACATATCCGAGATTCCTAAAGGATCACCCAGAAAATTCTTGGTGTTTTTCAACTTGTCCGCAATCGTTTCCTGGTTCCCAAGGGCGATGGTCTGACACCTTAACTGATCGGCAATTCGGTTATCATCCTATAAACGTACTGTAATGTAACTATGGTATGTTCTCCTATAACGTTGGATCCTCGCACCACACTATTGCTCGTGTACCTTTTTATCGTTAAACGAGTACCAGCCCGGTTTTGTGATATACAGTGGAGTTCGGTTATTGTAATCACGGATAATGTAATCGATCGGTTATTGTTATCACAATCCCAAAACAATGTAAAATTAATTTAATTATGATAGACGAATCGTTGATACTAAACTTTGGCATTCGTATAAATAATTACCTTTGTAATTTATTATTTTAATTAATACAAGAACTAGAACACATTGTTAAAATTCGACTATTCTCACTCAATACTAAGAAATTTATGTTTAAATATTTCCCGGTAAGTTTCCTTGTTTAAAATTAAAGTATGTATGATTCAAAACACGTCATACAATCCTGCAGCAAGACATTATTCGTTTAGACTAGTGAACACTTACATCAATTAATTGCCACTCCTTTATTTTTACAACGTAAATGACGTCGAAAGGGCGTAAAATTTCGTTTTGCCTACAACGTGTACATTACAAGTCGACCCCCTATAACACTGTTGATTATTTCGCTTTATATGAATTCCATGTTGTACGAGTCACTTAGATTTTACAAATACGTGTGCTAGGCTGTGAACGGCTCACTTATTTGTAAAATCTAAGTGACTCGTACAACATGGAATTCATATAAAACGGAAAAAATCAACAGTGTTATAGGGAGGGTCGACTTGTAATTACTATCTACCACAATATAGATTCTAGCAAAAGATATATAACAAGAAAATTTACACAAGTGGGAACATACTTTATTGGAAGAGATAATACATGAAAACTTCTATTTAGGCTCACGAACAAAAATAAAAGAAAAAAAAAAAAACAATTAAAATAACATTCCCTGTATATTCTAACATCGTTATAACAACACTCGACAATATTTTTATAGAAATTTGTACTGGAAAATTTAAGAAAAATTGTAATGAATGGAATATATTAAGCTCCCTTTTATCATTTTTATAACAGTGATTATATCTAATACATACACACACATACAGACACACACACAAAGATGAAAAAAAAAACATTGTTTTCTTTTATAACTAACAAATTATAAATTAATTTATATCAATTTTTAATATAAAAATGCTTCAAATTTTTGATTTTTTCTTCTTTTTTTTTTTAATATCAAAAACTCAAAAATATCTTCAACTATAACATAGAATGTTATAAATGAGGGCATTCTATTATTTGTTTCTTCAGCCCATTAAGTACTGAGTAATAATAATAATAGTAATAATAATAAAAAAATTTAATTTTAATAGTAGAAATCTTTTATAAATTTATAAATTAACCACACTGTCACTATCTTTTTTATCTCCATCCATTTTGGATTCGGATAAAGGTTCTTTTCCTGCTGCCCTCAGCTTCTGTTGCATCTGTTGCAACATATCTTGCATTCGACGAATCTAAAAAAAAAAAAGGAATTTAAATTATTTTTTTTACAGAAATTCTCACTAAAATTATTAAAAATAACATTCTCTTCTACTTATTTATGATAAGAGCCGAGATTGGCTCTTATTAGAAGGATCAAATTTAATCAAAAGTACGAGTACTTCGAGCTGTATTTTACTCGAAATGACTGACAGACATTCAACTCTAGAGATTCTTTTTTTAAAAAACAATTAGAACAAAAGCCTTTTTCACAGTTGAAGAGAGTGACTTTAACTTTATTGCTTGCTCTCTCTCTCTATTGATAGATACTTCTTACCGAAAAAAGAAACTTGCATGCCCCATTTTTGGCAATTGTTTTTACTAATTTTAAAGAAGAATTTTCATACCTCCTCTTCCTTTTGTTGAAGTAGTCGATCTGCTTCGGAAATTGTATCAAAATTCGGTCCGGAATCCCTCCTAAGTTTGCTTAAAAAAATTAGAATACATTTAGTATTAAAAGTAATAAAAAAATATTTATTTTTCACCATCACTTTTTTAACTCACTTTCTCTCTCGAGCTGCCTGCTGAGATATCTTTGTTATGTATTGTGCCCTATAATTTTCGTAATGGACATCTCGTGTGACGTCTTTTAAATCTTGCATGTGGGTGCTAACATTAAAAAGAATTTATGAATAAAAGAAATAATTTAAAATTTAGATAAAAAAAAATCAATTTTTTTACCTTATCAAGAACGTTTTCAACTTTAAAAAATCGCTATGTTTTGGATTTTCCACTGAAAATTATCAGAAAATTGAATGATATTTTCTATACCAAATCTAAAAATTTATGGTTTAATTTGATATAAATAATATTCTAAATTTTATTTAAAACGTGAAAAAAATACAGTCAACCCCCTATAACACTATTGATAATTCCGTTTTATATGAATTCCATGTTGTATGAGTCACTTAGATTTTACAAATAAATGAGCCATTCACAGCCCGTCACACATGTTTGTAAAATTAAATGACTCGTACAACATGGAATTCATATAAAACGGAATAATCAACAGTGTTATAGGGGGGTCGACTGTATTAATGATTCCATTTAAAAAGTTTTCAAGTGTTAAAAATTATGAAAATAACTATTTTTATTCGATAAAATTGAGATAAATTTCAACATTAAGTTTAAAATTTAAAGTTTGTACAACATTCTTATACAAAACTTATAGAAATTTTCACCGTATCGTTCCCAAAAAAGGAACCTCTCATCAGCAATACAGTACCTTATCTACTGTAGTGTCGAGTCAGACAAAGATAGCAATAACTCTTAATAGTATATTCCTTACATGTGCAAGACGTTAATTTTCCGGTTGGAACCCGAAAATTTTAGAAAAAATTCCACACTCTTGGGAGTTTTTCTTTTTAAATATATTAAATTTCACTCTTGCCATATTGGGGGAGGGAATTTAAGGCAAAATGAATGGGAGATATCTACTTCAAGGTCGTCAGTCAATCTTTTGGATTTTTATTGTTGACATGTTAAGGAAGTTGTTTTTTTTTTTAAATGTTATATTAAACTTGTTAAATATTTAAATAAATAGATTTATTAAAATTGCTCTTCAAGGTTTATCCTTTGCATAACAAACTCAAGGTCGAAATCAATTATATTAACTCATAACACATTTGTTTTTCTTTTAGGAGATATTTAAACATTTTCATAACTTTAACAGCTAAAGTTTGTTAAAGAAATAAACATTGTCAACGTTTTTTTCCACCCCTTCTATAACTCTTACACGTGTTTACTTATTTATCATTTTACATATACTTTAAACAGTGATGAAAAGATCGAAGTTAATACCTTCCACAATTCCCCAAGGATAAAGTCGACCACGTGTTCTTTTTCCATTAGCTTCCACTACTGTATTACTCCCAATTACTGCAAATGGAATGCTTTCCTGAAAGAAAGAAAAAAAAAGAAACTAAATGTAAAAAATTCCGAAATAATCACGAAATTGAACAGTGAAAAGAAAGGAAAAGATACATCTAATGGCGTTTTGTAGAACAGTAAAGAAAGTTACAAACAGAAGCTTCGTCTCCCCTATGTAGTAAATCTTTCAAAAGAGAATAAGTCATTGACAAAACTTCTGTTTTTCCCACATAAGAAAGTTTCATTTATAGCAGTTTTTCTACTGTAATATTTCATTTCGATAGAGGCAGTAACAAACAGATACACCCCCTACGACTATTGTGCACGATATTTTTGCTTTATTTAAGGATACTTTTCTTTAAATTTAAATAATTTAATACCTATTTAAAATATTCTATTCGAATGTGAACATCTTGCAACTAAACAGAACGCAAAAAACAAGTGTTTTTTTTCTTTAAAAAAATGCAAAAAAAACATGGCAAACCCACGTTAAGGATTAACCATTGAATCACTAATTCATAAATTCCAAAATAAAAAAGATTGGCCCACGAGATTTTTAACGAATAAAGATTTCATGCCTGTCCGACTAAATATAAACTATCTTCGAGAGTTTGAAAGATTCAACGGATACTTTCTGATTAGAAGCAGTCAGGCATGATCCATATCAGATAACATATAATTAACGTACTATAGTAATTACGATATTAATGTCACAAAAGTGCATTAATTTACTTTTTAGAATGTTACTGGAATGTTCGAGTTGCGAAACATCTTGCTGTATTAAATCACTAAAAGAAGTAAAAAATACAGGAGGTTGCGGCCGAAGTTTTCATCTCTCAAACGTGAACGTCGAACGTCGAGCGCCGCTCGACGTTCGACGTTCAACGTTTGAGAGATGAAAACTTCGGCCGCAACCTCCTGTATTAACATAATTTAATGGAAAATACCTTAAGTTCTCGATCTTGTTGCTTGAATTCCTCATCTTCATCGCTATCACATTCGGGTAACTGATAGATTTTTACTTGATGTTCGTCGAGTTCTCTCAGAATCTAAAAAAAAGATATATCGTTTAATTTATTAAAAACATTAAAAAAAATTTAAATATTTTACTTACTCGATCCTTCAATCTTCTTATTTCTACGGCTGTTAAAGAATCTGCTTTAGCTACTATCGGAACGATATTGACTTTTTGATGGAGACGTTTCATAAATTCTATATCGATGGGTCTTAAACTGGAAGAAATATTAAACGTATTATTTAATACAAATGAGGTTAACCGCACTATCGAGCTAAGAAAAAAAAAAAAAAAAAAAAGAAAAGAAATCACCCACCCGTGCCCGAATGGAGGGACAAAATAAAGACAACAATGAACTCTATTATCCACGATGTTCTTCCTATTCAAGCCACTCTCGTCTTTAAAAAACTGATTAAATTGTTCGTCTATATATTTTTCGATTGTTTTATAGCTAAAATACATTAAAAAATATATGAAGAAACTCTTATGTAGTGAAGAAACTAAAAAGAAACTCGCTACTTACTTGTCTTCACAATTGACAGAATCTCCAAATCCGGGAGTGTCTACAACTGTCAAACGCAATCGAACACCTTTCTCTTCGATTTCTATTGTAGTTTTTTGAATATCGACTGTCTTGTCAACCCTTTCTGAATAGAAAAAAAAAAAAAGAAACGTTTTACATAAACAACGTTCTGGAAAGCTTTATTAATGTAAGTGGAATTACAACTATTCATAATAAAAGTAAAGTGTTTTAAGATTACATTCATAGCTAATGTTTCTTTTTTTTATAATGAATACATCATTAAATCATAACAGAACTTTTTAAAAAACAAACATGCAATTTGACCTTTCCCAAAAGAGAGAGAAAAAGAAAACAAGACACAGAAAAAAATATACTTTATATAGATTGTTATTAAATGTATAGAAAAAAAAAAAACATAGAAAAACACTTGTTTTTAACTCACCTTCCACATTAGGAACAACTCTATCTTTATATATATCTGTTAAGAACAGGCTGTTAATAAGAGTTGATTTACCCAGTCCAGATTCACCTGAGGATGAGAAAAAATGATGGAATTATATTAAAAAAACAAAAGAAATATTTGTATATTTAAAAAGAAGAAGTGATTAGCTAGGAGTGTTTTAAATTTAAAAGTACTTGTCGCCACTTGTTGACTATAGAATAATAAAAAAAAAAAAAGTTGCATATCCTGGTAGTTGGAATCTGAGTAGAGAGAGAGAGTTGTAATATTACACGATGTAGAAACAATGAACGTACTTTAAACATTTAAATAAAGAATTTAAGCATTTAGGAGATAATTTTCGGAATTGTTTATACGTTAACGCTTAATGTTACAGTGTCAAAAATAATAATTAAACTTACCTACAACCATCAAAGTAAAGTCAAATCCTTTCTTGACGGATTTTCGATGAACTTGGTCTGGAAGAGTGGCGAAACCGATTTCTCCCTGTTTAAAAAATATATATAGATAGATAAATTGGGTACAGTCGACCCCCCTTATAAACACTGTTGATTATTCCATTTTATATGAATTCCATGTTGTACGAGTCACTTAGATTTTACAAATACGTGTGCCGGTCNAAAGAAACTAAATGTAAAAAATTCCGAAATAATCACGAAATTGAACAGTGAAAAGAAAGGAAAAGATACATCTAATGGCGTTTTGTAGAACAGTAAAGAAAGTTACAAACAGAAGCTTCGTCTCCCCTATGTAGTAAATCTTTCAAAAGAGAATAAGTCATTGACAAAACTTCTGTTTTTCCCACATAAGAAAGTTTCATTTATAGCAGTTTTTCTACTGTAATATTTCATTTCGATAGAGGCAGTAACAAACAGATACACCCCCTACGACTATTGTGCACGATATTTTTGCCGTATTTAAAGATACTTTTCTTTAAATTTAAATAATTTAATACCTATTTAAAATATTCTATTCGAATGTGAACATCTTGCAACTAAACAGAACGCAAAAAACAAGTGTTTTTTTTCTTTAAAAAAATGCAAAAAAAACATGGCAAACCCACGTTAAGGATTAACCATTGAATCACTAATTCATAAATTCCAAAATAAAAAAGATTGGCCCACGAGATTTTTAACGAATAAAGATTTCATGCCTGTCCGACTAAATATAAACTATCTTCGAGAGTTTGAAAGATTCAACGGATACTTTCTGATTAGAAGCAGTCAGGCATGATCCATATCAGATAACATATAATTAACGTACTATAGTAATTACGATATTAATGTCACAAAAGTGCATTAATTTACTTTTTAGAATGTTACTGGAATGTTCGAGTTGCGAAACATCTTGCTGTATTAATCACTAAAAGAAGTAAAAAATACAGGAGGTTGCGGCCGAAGTTTTCATCTCTCAAACGTGAACGTCGAACGTCGAGCGCCGCTCGACGTTCGACGTTCAACGTTTGAGAGATGAAAACTTCGGCCGCAACCTCCTGTATTAACATAATTTAATGGAAAATACCTTAAGTTCTCGATCTTGTTGCTTGAATTCCTCATCTTCATCGCTATCACATTCGGGTAACTGATAGATTTTTACTTGATGTTCGTCGAGTTCTCTCAGAATCTAAAAAAAAGATATATCGTTTAATTTATTAAAAACATTAAAAAAAATTTAAATATTTTACTTACTCGATCCTTCAATCTTCTTATTTCTACGGCTGTTAAAGAATCTGCTTTAGCTACTATCGGAACGATATTGACTTTTTGATGGAGACGTTTCATAAATTCTATATCGATGGGTCTTAAACTGGAAGAAATATTAAACGTATTATTTAATACAAATGAGGTTAACCGCACTATCGAGCTAAGAAAAAAAAAAAAAAAAAAAAGAAAAGAAATCACCCACCCGTGCCCGAATGGAGGGACAAAATAAAGACAACAATGAACTCTATTATCCACGATGTTCTTCCTATTCAAGCCACTCTCGTCTTTAAAAAACTGATTAAATTGTTCGTCTATATATTTTTCGATTGTTTTATAGCTAAAATACATTAAAAAATATATGAAGAAACTCTTATGTAGTGAAGAAACTAAAAAGAAACTCGCTACTTACTTGTCTTCACAATTGACAGAATCTCCAAATCCGGGAGTGTCTACAACTGTCAAACGCAATCGAACACCTTTCTCTTCGATTTCTATTGTAGTTTTTTGAATATCGACTGTCTTGTCAACCCTTTCTGAATAGAAAAAAAAAAAAAGAAACGTTTTACATAAACAACGTTCTGGAAAGCTTTATTAATGTAAGTGGAATTACAACTATTCATAATAAAAGTAAAGTGTTTTAAGATTACATTCATAGCTAATGTTTCTTTTTTTTATAATGAATACATCATTAAATCATAACAGAACTTTTTAAAAAACAAACATGCAATTTGACCTTTCCCAAAAGAGAGAGAAAAAGAAAACAAGACACAGAAAAAAATATACTTTATATAGATTGTTATTAAATGTATAGAAAAAAAAAAAACATAGAAAAACACTTGTTTTTAACTCACCTTCCACATTAGGAACAACTCTATCTTTATATATATCTGTTAAGAACAGGCTGTTAATAAGAGTTGATTTACCCAGTCCAGATTCACCTGAGGATGAGAAAAAATGATGGAATTATATTAAAAAAACAAAAGAAATATTTGTATATTTAAAAAGAAGAAGTGATTAGCTAGGAGTGTTTTAAATTTAAAAGTACTTGTCGCCACTTGTTGACTATAGAATAATAAAAAAAAAAAAAGTTGCATATCCTGGTAGTTGGAATCTGAGTAGAGAGAGAGAGTTGTAATATTACACGATGTAGAAACAATGAACGTACTTTAAACATTTAAATAAAGAATTTAAGCATTTAGGAGATAATTTTCGGAATTGTTTATACGTTAACGCTTAATGTTACAGTGTCAAAAATAATAATTAAACTTACCTACAACCATCAAAGTAAAGTCAAATCCTTTCTTGACGGATTTTCGATGAACTTGGTCTGGAAGAGTGGCGAAACCGATTTCTCCCTGTTTAAAAAATATATATAGATAGATAAATTGGGTACAGTCGACCCCCCTTATAAACACTGTTGATTATAAGGGGGGTCGACTGTAAAATCTAAGTGACTCGTACAACATGGAATTCATATAATACGGAATAATCAAAAGTGTTATAAGGTGGTCGACTGTATTTAAATATATACATATTTTTTCTATTAAATAGAGATTAAAGAAATTATAATTTACGATAGAAAATAATCTTATCTGAAGTGGTTTAAGCTTGTGTTTTTATCGACTTAATCTTAATTTAGATTATGGGGTACCCTGCCACTTAAGGGTTGTTTTGATAGATGAACCCAGTCTCTAGTGGGGGTTGACGGATGTTGCTTTAATATTATCCAGGTGGAGAGTAAAGACAACATAAAGGTTTAGTTTTTTTTATGAAGAATTTCAAATATTTCGCGTTTTTTTTATCTCCTCGTATACGTAAGAACTTAAATCGTGACTCAAACAATACTTATATAGTAATTACGGGGTTTAAAATGAATGTTTTCCAGTAAATAAATTAAACAGAATATATTAAGAATTATAAAAAATGTAAAAGGTTACTCACGTGACGTTTAAATCTTTTTCTTTCATTGTCTAATTTCATGCTAATCTCACTCATGAACTAACGCGAAAGCTTCGCAGCTCGCTCATTCAAGATCTTTTTTAGTCTATTTATGGAAAGCTGGGTGGAGCAAAAACACTACTGCTATCATGAAAATGACTATACACATACCCTCTCCCCACAACTTCAATTGAACAAACCGTATATCACGTGATGCACCATTGCCTTCCCGGTAACCGATCATTTAAAGTATCGCAGTTATGATCATACCCGCTTACGGAAGTCCATTATGTTTTAATATTGTGTGACGTTTAGATCATTGCGTCATTCGATGAATGCACGTAATCATAAATCTGCATATTGTCGCATGTATTTAAAACACAGGGATTTTTTTTTTTTTTTTTTGTGTGTGTGTGGCATATAAAGTGGCATCTTTACCTTTCAATGCAGCTTTTTTTTATTATTATTTATTTATTTTAAAGCAAATAAAATGACGTACGTTAAAATAAAATCAATATTTATAACCTACGTAAGAAAAATTGCCAAGCAAATTGATTCAGTTGGCATACTTACTGCATCGGCATTGTTGTTTTGCCAGGAAAAAATCAATATTTGAGGAAGTCGCGAGTTAAATTTCGTTCGATTATTTGAATATTATACAAGATGCAACGGTTAATTCTCGCCCTTTTCTCTTATTTTTTTTCTTAAATAATGAGTAAAGTCATATAATCGTATCTTTGATGAAGCGTATCGATCAACGCGTACTGTCCAGAGGGCAAGAACCCCGTCTTATGATAGACTATGGCGGATATACGAAGGAAAATAATTAAATTCGGATATAAATAAACATTTTTACTCACTTGTCCGTGCATGTTGAATCGTTATCGGTAGCAGCACATGCTCGACTTTACGTTATAGTGCAAGATACCCTTAGAATTAAACCACCCAACAGTACACCACTGTAACGACGTGAAGAGCCCGGATGATGGGGATTGAGTCATACACAATCGATCGCCACTACGAACTATAAACTCAGATCGATCGCAATTCCATTGATAGCTTCCATTTCTTTTCTACTTTTTAATCTTCGGGACGGACTTTTATTATATATAGGTCTATATATATATATTTTTCGCTCCAATTTAACTATCAAATTATTCATTTAATACGTATTTATAATTTATTAAATGGAATTTTAAAAGCTTAAAAAAAAAAAGAAAAGAAAAACAAGACAGTAAATAAGCCTCTTTGACGTCCATTTTTCTTTTGGTCAAGNTGAGTAATAATAATAATAGTAATAATAATAAAAAAATTTAATTTTAATAGTAGAAATCTTTTATAAATTTATAAATTAACCACACTGTCACTATCTTTTTTATCTCCATCCATTTTGGATTCGGATAAAGGTTCTTTTCCTGCTGCCCTCAGCTTCTGTTGCATCTGTTGCAACATATCTTGCATTCGACGAATCTAAAAAAAAAAAAAAAGGAATTTAAATTATTTTTTTTACAGAAATTCTCACTAAAATTATTAAAAATAACATTCTCTTCTACTTATTTATGATAAGAGCCGAGATTGGCTCTTATTAGAAGGATCAAATTTAATCAAAAGTACGAGTACTTCGAGCTGTATTTTACTCGAAATGACTGACAGACATTCAACTCTAGAGATTCTTTTTTTAAAAAACAATTAGAACAAAAGCCTTTTTCACAGTTGAAGAGAGTGACTTTAACTTTATTGCTTGCTCTCTCTCTCTATTGATAGATACTTCTTACCGAAAAAAGAAACTTGCATGCCCCATTTTTGGCAATTGTTTTTACTAATTTTAAAGAAGAATTTTCATACCTCCTCTTCCTTTTGTTGAAGTAGTCGATCTGCTTCGGAAATTGTATCAAAATTCGGTCCGGAATCCCTCCTAAGTTTGCTTAAAAAAATTAGAATACATTTAGTATTAAAAGTAATAAAAAAATATTTATTTTTCACCATCACTTTTTTAACTCACTTTCTCTCTCGAGCTGCCTGCTGAGATATCTTTGTTATGTATTGTGCCCTATAATTTTCGTAATGGACATCTCGTGTGACGTCTTTTAAATCTTGCATGTGGGTGCTAACATTAAAAAGAATTTATGAATAAAAGAAATAATTTAAAATTTAGATAAAAAAAATCAATTTTTTTACCTTATCAAGAACGTTTTCAACTTTAAAAAATCGCTATGTTTTGGATTTTCCACTGAAAATTATCAGAAAATTGAATGATATTTTCTATGAGGAAGAAAGAGAAAATAGGAGAAGTCACGTAGATTTGGATCCTCAAATTTAAATTAAAGATACCGCCATATTGGAGAAGAAATAAAGTAGTAATAGGGATTATACTATACTGCAACATTATCATTTTTAAAATAAGATCTATGCATATTTATTTACTTTTTTTTTAAATGGTCATTAGTGTTTAGTCGCAAGTACTGTATATAAATTATGTTTCTCTTATCTTTCTCATATTGATGTATTTCGATGAAAAAAGTATATTTATGCTCATATTCGCAATGAAAAATTAATAATTACAATTGAATAAAACATAGCGCTACTTTACCATTGAAAAGTATTGTTAAATCAGCCCTTCAAACTTCCTTTTCCAATGTGGTGGATCGCCTCGAAACATGGCGTGGGTGCGTTCATAAAATCGAATGAGTTAAACGAGAATGACGTCATTTCGTTCGCTGGACATTGTAACCGATTTGTTTACACCAAAACTGGGTGATCTGCCAAGGGAGTGTGTCTCCCGGGAGGACTTACTATTGGAAACTGGCTGTGTTTAGTGAAGAAAACCCGGAAAACTCCTTGCTACCAGTCCGTTTGTAAAGTACGAACCTAAGATCAGTAATCAGTGGTTTATCCATTCGACCACTGGTGAACACAAAATTCTATTTGGAAGCCATAATGTGGGTCTACTGTAATTTGCTCTCTTTCCTCCCCGAGTGCTAAGAGGGGCTGTTTATCAAGCCCAGTGAGTTCGGCCAACTCCACAATGGGGTGGCCGAGTGATGAGGAATGGGATTCGACATATCCGAGATTCCTAAAGGATCACCCAGAAAATTCTTGGTGTTTTTCAACTTGTCCGCAATCGTTTCCTGGTTCCCAAGGGCGATGGTCTGACACCTTAACTGATCGGCAATTCGGTTATCATCCTATAAACGTACTGTAATGTAACTATGGTATGTTCTCCTATAACGTTGGATCCTCGCACCACACTATTGCTCGTGTACCTTTTTATCGTTAAACGAGTACCAGCCCGGTTTTGTGATATACAGTGGAGTTCGGTTATTGTAATCACGGATAATGTAATCGATCGGTTATTGTTATCACAATCCCAAAACAATGTAAAATTAATTTAATTATGATAGACGAATCGTTGATACTAAACTTTGGCATTCGTATAAATAATTACCTTTGTAATTTATTATTTTAATTAATACAAGAACTAGAACACATTGTTAAAATTCGACTATTCTCACTCAATACTAAGAAATTTATGTTTAAATATTTCCCGGTAAGTTTCCTTGTTTAAAATTAAAGTATGTATGATTCAAAACACGTCATACAATCCTGCAGCAAGACATTATTCGTTTAGACTAGTGAACACTTACATCAATTAATTGCCACTCCTTTATTTTTACAACGTAAATGACGTCGAAAGGGCGTAAAATTTCGTTTTGCCTACAACGTGTACATTACAAGTCGACCCCCTATAACACTGTTGATTATTTCGCTTTATATGAATTCCATGTTGTACGAGTCACTTAGATTTTACAAATACGTGTGCTAGGCTGTGAACGGCTCACTTATTTGTAAAATCTAAGTGACTCGTACAACATGGAATTCATATAAAACGGAAAAAATCAACAGTGTTATAGGGAGGGTCGACTTGTAATTACTATCTACCACAATATAGATTCTAGCAAAAGATATATAACAAGAAAATTTACACAAGTGGGAACATACTTTATTGGAAGAGATAATACATGAAAACTTCTATTTAGGCTCACGAACAAAAATAAAAGAAAAAAAAAAAAACAATTAAAATAACATTCCCTGTATATTCTAACATCGTTATAACAACACTCGACAATATTTTTATAGAAATTTGTACTGGAAAATTTAAGAAAAATTGTAATGAATGGAATATATTAAGCTCCCTTTTATCATTTTTATAACAGTGATTATATCTAATACATACACACACATACAGACACACACACAAAGATGAAAAAAAAAACATTGTTTTCTTTTATAACTAACAAATTATAAATTAATTTATATCAATTTTTAATATAAAAATGCTTCAAATTTTTGATTTTTTCTTCTTTTTTTTTTTTAATATCAAAAACTCAAAAATATCTTCAACTTTAACATAGAATGTTATAAATGAGGGCATTCTATTATTTGTTTCTTCAGCCCATTAAGTACTGAGTAATAATAATAATAGTAATAATAATAAAAAAATTTAATTTTAATAGTAGAAATCTTTTATAAATTTATAAATTAACCACACTGTCACTATCTTTTTTATCTCCATCCATTTTGGATTCGGATAAAGGTTCTTTTCCTGCTGCCCTCAGCTTCTGTTGCATCTGTTGCAACATATCTTGCATTCGACGAATCTAAAAAAAAAAAAGGAATTTAAATTATTTTTTTTACAGAAATTCTCACTAAAATTATTAAAAATAACATTCTCTTCTACTTATTTATGATAAGAGCCGAGATTGGCTCTTATTAGAAGGATCAAATTTAATCAAAAGTACGAGTACTTCGAGCTGTATTTTACTCGAAATGACTGACAGACATTCAACTCTAGAGATTCTTTTTTTAAAAAACAATTAGAACAAAAGCCTTTTTCACAGTTGAAGAGAGTGACTTTAACTTTATTGCTTGCTCTCTCTCTCTATTGATAGATACTTCTTACCGAAAAAAGAAACTTGCATGCCCCATTTTTGGCAATTGTTTTTACTAATTTTAAAGAAGAATTTTCATACCTCCTCTTCCTTTTGTTGAAGTAGTCGATCTGCTTCGGAAATTGTATCAAAATTCGGTCCGGAATCCCTCCTAAGTTTGCTTAAAAAAATTAGAATACATTTAGTATTAAAAGTAATAAAAAAATATTTATTTTTCACCATCACTTTTTTAACTCACTTTCTCTCTCGAGCTGCCTGCTGAGATATCTTTGTTATGTATTGTGCCCTATAATTTTCGTAATGGACATCTCGTGTGACGTCTTTTAAATCTTGCATGTGGGTGCTAACATTAAAAAGAATTTATGAATAAAAGAAATAATTTAAAATTTAGATAAAAAAAATCAATTTTTTNTCGACCACTGGTGAACACAAAATTCTATTTGGAAGCCATAATGTGGGTCTACTGTAATTTGCTCTCTTTCCTCCCCGAGTGCTAAGAGGGGCTGTTTATCAAGCCCAGTGAGTTCGGCCAACTCCACAATGGGGTGGCCGAGTGATGAGGAATGGGATTCGACATATCCGAGATTCCTAAAGGATCACCCAGAAAATTCTTGGTGTTTTTCAACTTGTCCGCAATCGTTTCCTGGTTCCCAAGGGCGATGGTCTGACACCTTAACTGATCGGCAATTCGGTTATCATCCTATAAACGTACTGTAATGTAACTATGGTATGTTCTCCTATAACGTTGGATCCTCGCACCACACTATTGCTCGTGTACCTTTTTATCGTTAAACGAGTACCAGCCCGGTTTTGTGATATACAGTGGAGTTCGGTTATTGTAATCACGGATAATGTAATCGATCGGTTATTGTTATCACAATCCCAAAACAATGTAAAATTAATTTAATTATGATAGACGAATCGTTGATACTAAACTTTGGCATTCGTATAAATAATTACCTTTGTAATTTATTATTTTAATTAATACAAGAACTAGAACACATTGTTAAAATTCGACTATTCTCACTCAATACTAAGAAATTTATGTTTAAATATTTCCCGGTAAGTTTCCTTGTTTAAAATTAAAGTATGTATGATTCAAAACACGTCATACAATCCTGCAGCAAGACATTATTCGTTTAGACTAGTGAACACTTACATCAATTAATTGCCACTCCTTTATTTTTACAACGTAAATGACGTCGAAAGGGCGTAAAATTTCGTTTTGCCTACAACGTGTACATTACAAGTCGACCCCCTATAACACTGTTGATTATTTCGCTTTATATGAATTCCATGTTGTACGAGTCACTTAGATTTTACAAATACGTGTGCTAGGCTGTGAACGGCTCACTTATTTGTAAAATCTAAGTGACTCGTACAACATGGAATTCATATAAAACGGAAAAAATCAACAGTGTTATAGGGAGGGTCGACTTGTAATTACTATCTACCACAATATAGATTCTAGCAAAAGATATATAACAAGAAAATTTACACAAGTGGGAACATACTTTATTGGAAGAGATAATACATGAAAACTTCTATTTAGGCTCACGAACAAAAATAAAAGAAAAAAAAAAAAACAATTAAAATAACATTCCCTGTATATTCTAACATCGTTATAACAACACTCGACAATATTTTTATAGAAATTTGTACTGGAAAATTTAAGAAAAATTGTAATGAATGGAATATATTAAGCTCCCTTTTATCATTTTTATAACAGTGATTATATCTAATACATACACACACATACAGACACACACACAAAGATGAAAAAAAAAACATTGTTTTCTTTTATAACTAACAAATTATAAATTAATTTATATCAATTTTTAATATAAAAATGCTTCAAATTTTTGATTTTTTCTTCTTTTTTTTTTTAATATCAAAAACTCAAAAATATCTTCAACTATAACATAGAATGTTATAAATGAGGGCATTCTATTATTTGTTTCTTCAGCCCATTAAGTACTGAGTAATAATAATAATAGTAATAATAATAAAAAAATTTAATTTTAATAGTAGAAATCTTTTATAAATTTATAAATTAACCACACTGTCACTATCTTTTTTATCTCCATCCATTTTGGATTCGGATAAAGGTTCTTTTCCTGCTGCCCTCAGCTTCTGTTGCATCTGTTGCAACATATCTTGCATTCGACGAATCTAAAAAAAAAAAAGGAATTTAAATTATTTTTTTTACAGAAATTCTCACTAAAATTATTAAAAATAACATTCTCTTCTACTTATTTATGATAAGAGCCGAGATTGGCTCTTATTAGAAGGATCAAATTTAATCAAAAGTACGAGTACTTCGAGCTGTATTTTACTCGAAATGACTGACAGACATTCAACTCTAGAGATTCTTTTTTTAAAAAACAATTAGAACAAAAGCCTTTTTCACAGTTGAAGAGAGTGACTTTAACTTTATTGCTTGCTCTCTCTCTCTATTGATAGATACTTCTTACCGAAAAAAGAAACTTGCATGCCCCATTTTTGGCAATTGTTTTTACTAATTTTAAAGAAGAATTTTCATACCTCCTCTTCCTTTTGTTGAAGTAGTCGATCTGCTTCGGAAATTGTATCAAAATTCGGTCCGGAATCCCTCCTAAGTTTGCTTAAAAAAATTAGAATACATTTAGTATTAAAAGTAATAAAAAAATATTTATTTTTCACCATCACTTTTTTAACTCACTTTCTCTCTCGAGCTGCCTGCTGAGATATCTTTGTTATGTATTGTGCCCTATAATTTTCGTAATGGACATCTCGTGTGACGTCTTTTAAATCTTGCATGTGGGTGCTAACATTAAAAAGAATTTATGAATAAAAGAAATAATTTAAAATTTAGATAAAAAAAAATCAATTTTTTTACCTTATCAAGAACGTTTTCAACTTTAAAAAATCGCTATGTTTTGGATTTTCCACTGAAAATTATCAGAAAATTGAATGATATTTTCTATACCAAATCTAAAAATTTATGGTTTAATTTGATATAAATAATATTCTAAATTTTATTTAAAACGTGAAAAAAATACAGTCAACCCCCTATAACACTATTGATAATTCCGTTTTATATGAATTCCATGTTGTATGAGTCACTTAGATTTTACAAATAAATGAGCCATTCACAGCCCGGCACACATATTTGTAAAAT